TGGGTGGGTGCATGGATGGATAGATAGATAGGAATAAAGCTGCATGGATTATCAGAATCTGCTCCAGATTTTTACAGCAGAATATCAGTGAGTTCCTTTTGATACTATTAATTTAGTATTAGTTTTTTGCTCTCCTGAATTAAATATGCATGTTGCCCAACATTCTAAAGAAAAATAACATACTAATTGTCTGCTATCCATCATCATCATTATTATTATTAAATTTGTATCCTGTCTGTTTTTATATATAAAGGCTGCGAACACACTTAATACTCCTGCTTCCTATTTTCCCCACAGTAACAACCCTGTGAGGTGGGTTGGGCTGAGAGAGAGTGAGTGGCCCAAAGTCATCCAGCCTGCTTTCATGCTAAAGGGAGGCCTAGAACTCACAGCCTCTGGGTTTCTACCAAACTGGCTCTCTTTATAAAAATATAATTCAGATATAAATAGAAAACATAGACATTATAACTTGACAATCAGTATAAATTATATCCCTTTTGCTATTTATTTATTTAGCATATTTATATAGTTGTTCATCTCACAAATACATGACTGTGTGGTGTACAACACAACAACAGTTAAAAACTCTGTAACAATCTAAAAACAAAAATTAAACATATAAAGTAAACATATAAAATAAACAAAGCCAAGAAAGTGGGAGAATAAACATCACTTAATCTCATACAGCCACCTTGCAGACTATCCCCAGGATCTCCAAGGCTGGTGAAAAAAAAATGTTTTAAGGGCATTCCGGAAGGCTAACAGAGATGGGGCTAACCTCACCTTGGAGGGAGTGATGTTCCAGAGGAGGGGCCACAGCAGAAAAGGCACATCGCAGCATACCCCTTCTACCTGACCTGGTGGGACGGATAGATGTAATCGGGAAGAGGCGGTCCCTCAAATAACCTGGTCCCATGCCTTATAGGAGTTAAAAGGTCAAAAACAGTATCTTGAATTGCACCCTGAAGCAAACTGGCAATCAGTGCAGCTCGCGGAATGGAGTTGTAATGTGTGCCCTCTGTGCAGCTGCATTCTGCACCAGCTGAAGCTTCCAGATAGTCCTCAAGGCAGTCCTGTGTAGAGTGTGTTACAGTAATCCATTCTGGAAGTGACCAGGGCATGAGTAACTGAGCAGAGCCTCACAATCTAGGAAGGGGCACAACTGGCGTACAACACAAAGCTATGCAAATGCTTTGTGTTACTTAGCTATTGGATGCATTAAGTAAGAATGCATCTAAGTCACTCTTGAGTGAAATGGGTGGTGACTAAATTTGAAATATAAATAAATAAGAAACTAAGTACAATGTACACTAAATCCCTTTTCATATAAAAAATGTGCACTGTGCTTGCCTTTGTTTTCCATGCATTTGCTATATGATAGTCACGTTTTAACACTTCAGGATAAGACCATGCACTTACAATATGATGAAATGCACTTTACTGCTTTGTGTAAAGAAGCGTTATATGCCAAAACTACAATATATTGCTGCAATTATAAGAAAAATAAGACCCACATGTAGAGCTAATTTTTAAGTATTTACTAAATGCTTACATATTGAAGCTAGAATGGATATTTTAAAATGTATGATGATTCATAGTTTTGAAAGTATATGTTAAGAATGTTCCTTTCTATTTCAGTTTGGAAATAGTGACAAAGAACACCACTCTTAATGCTGAATTATATTTTCCTTGTGCTGTAGACATGAATTTCTTCATGATAAAATCATTTTCTATAGCTTTTGATGCCAGGATCTGTTTTTCTGAGGCAATGAATCAAAAACATCGGACTTCAGAGTCTTGCAGATGACTCGCTAAAGTATTATTGAACATGGGTCAGAAATTGGAGATTAAATTTTCACTTCTGTGTTGGAATAGATATAAGCTGTAGTTCTAGTAGAGTTCAGTGATTAATTAATTTTACTGTGGATAAATCGGTGGGATAATAGTGGAATATTGTCCTTATGAAATACAAACTGAAGTTGTTAAGATAGTGATTTTCGGGGGGGGGGTATTGTGTATTAAGGACATAAACAGAACAGATTTTGAAATCTCAATAATTTTATTGATACAGGTAGTCCTTGACTTATGACCATTCATTTAACAACCATTCAAAATTAAGATGACACTGAAAAAAGTGACTTATGACTGGTCCTCGCACTTATGACCATCACAGCATCCCTGCAGTCATGTGA